GAAAAAATAAATAGAAAAAAAGGTATAGTTATTGAGTTTTGGCACTTGAGCATTTTCTATTAAAATACACACAACTTATTCAAATGTATACAAAACTTACTTCTTTGCCAGTTTCAATGTCGTGTGTTGTTGTGGTATTCCAACTTCGCACACCTGTATCAACGCCCGAAAAATTTTTGATTGTGCCATCCTCAATCTTCTGAATGATGCGAGATTTTTGGTCGATTTCTTTGTTGGCTGTCTTCTTTTTGGCCGAGTACTGGAGAGACACAGAGATTCCATCGGTGTTTATGGAATAGTCAAACTGCTTTTTGGCACGCACGAATCGTCGAATTTTTCGCATGTAAAAATACTGATTCCACCAATAATCTCTCGAATGATTGAAATCCTTTTGTTGAATCGTTTTCGTGCTTGTTGTTCCTTTTTTATTCTCGATTTCCACTTTCGGTAGCAATTTTTGCGAAGACAACACCTGGTGCATGGATGAACAATCGATTCTGAAGTGCGTACGCCGGAAATCACACATCGGCACCACTACTAAATTTCGAATCAATGGCCGAAAATCTGGGTTGTCGAGCATTTGGCTGCGCTTGCGTTTCCATTTTCCTTTTGTCTTTTTTCGCTTTCTTTTCTTACGTTTGGGTCGGCGCTGATGTGGCCACTCCGAATTGTACTCTTCTATCTCGCGCTGCATAGATAGGTACATTGGCATGGCCTTAAACCAATGTTGTTTGCCAGTCGTGAGGTCATGCAGATCGATATCTGGGAACACATTCAGGTCGTTCACCATGTCATACAACACGCTACACCGTTCGAGTTTGTTTGGATCGCGAATTGGCACTTTGATGTCTTTTTGTTTGATGATCAGATTCACAACACTTGCGATGTCACTTGGCAAAATTTTCTCTGCATCATCTCCTACGTCTGAGTTCCATTGGAAAACCTTCAGTTTCAAGTACTGGGTGATGTGTTTGTTAGCATGCGTTTCAAGATTGGTGACGACGTTATCTGTGTACTGATTGGTCAAATGCTTAAGGCCATTGCAGAAATCTTTGTTGTTGGGCCAATCGATACGATGATAGTCGTCAAGACCTTCGACAATTGCCTTGAATTCAGGATCGATACGTGGCAGCTCTGCTCGTGGTCCTCGTGGCTTTTCTCCTCTTGGTTTATACCTTGACCTCGGTTTTGGTGGCTGATTGTTGTGCCATAGCACTTGTTCAAAGCAGAGTTTGATCTTATCTTCTCCACTTCCACCAAACAATGCGAAATTATTGTTCTCGACGCCTATATTCGAACGCCTTTTGCACCTCAAACAAGAACAGCAATGAGCCCAAAACACAAATGGAAGTGGCTTGCAAACTCAGATCCGTTATTTTGCTCATCAATGCTTGCTGGTATTGTGGGCGAATGATTGTCTTTAGCGCACATTTGATCGTCGTAATTTCATCTTTCGTCTCTCCCTCCGCTGGTATTGATGGCTTGAAACGATTCGCCATTGTCCTACTGAAAGAAAAAAAACACACATTCGATTTAGTTTGAAAACGAATAATATTGAAACTTAAATTCGATTTAGTTTGAAAATGACAACAGAATGAGACACACAAAAATGACTTCGGTTTGATAACAATGGCATTGATTCAATTTGAGTTCGAACAGTAATCGATTAACTGTTTCTCTTCTCCGAACAATGGACTCAATTCATTGCATAAAATGAATTTCACCATCACACGTATTTCACCATCACACGTAACAGAACTATGTACTGCAGAATTATTGTGAAATTCATTACTTTTTTTTTCATGGAATCTAATATTACTGTTGATATGTTCAATATATTTCACGTCATAAATGCTTATATTACGTTTTTAAAATGAATTCCACAAAAAGAAGAAGATATTGAAATGATCAAGTTTACTCACACTTTGGCGAATTGAATTCAATGTGAACTCCGGATCAAATCGATACAAAACGCACGTAAATCGAAAATAATACGAAATGAAATACCAGCAAAATCGTAGATAAATTAAATTGCAGCGTAAATTTCCAGTTTAAATTGTAAGATAAAATGTAAGAGTTTCAATTTGTTGACTTGGTGTTCACAACGCTGTATGTTTTCTCGGAATGAATGATGCGGCGTCTGTGACATTTCGAAAACTGCTGAAGTGAATGTCAAATGTCATAAGGATCGGTTCATATTGCCAATTTTTAGAACATTAGACAATTTGAGCTACAAAGAGTCAATTAGTACTAACACATAAAAACGGTTATATTTCGGTGAAATTCCAAATTTATTAGCAATGAAGGACGATTTATTGTTTGATTCCGATTTTTTGGGCCGAAATCTACGTAGAAATCATATATTCTTATTTGACTCCCCAAACCTGAACACCCTAGCTGTACTTATCCGCACACGTCAGAATTTTCAATTTTGCCTCACGTTCTTTATCATAAATGGTTCCATCTCAAAATTCGCATTTTTGATTAGATTTGCTTGTTGTTTAAAAGATATAGTTTCTTAAACATATACTTTTTTACCGCAATATCTTTTCGCATCTACATTCGAGTGCTGTCTTCAGTGACACTGTCAATCAACATACATTGAATCAATTTCATTTCCTGATCATTATACAATTCACCTATTCATTTGATGAAGTTTTGAGTTTTTTGTGGACCAATTTGTAATTTATATCTTAGCGTGTTTGCTATTTTGCGATTTTTATTCACCTATTCGTTAATACTTTCAAAATTTGCTTATTTTCAACAAATCACATCACAAATCAATCTCAAAATATGCAGTGCATTTCAAAAGAAGCCTATTCTGTTGTTATTTAGACTGTGAGCTCCATTATTAGTATCATAGCATACGTGTAAATCTTCTGCAATGGTTAATTAAATGTTCAAATATGCTTTCTGCATGAAAAAAAAAATGTGAATGCAAATAAATTATTCAAAAGATTCAGATGCCAATTGCAATGAGAATCAATTTGTTGTTAAATTGACGTAGTATAGCTCATATGCATTGTACAGTGTACACGGCTTGATTCGTCTGTGTGAATATACCTCGACCAATTTGAAATCTTGATAGAAATAACATGCACATCATTTTCCGGTTGAAAATTTGCCTTGCTCTTTTTTAATAATTTCAAAAAGTTCGCGCAAAATAAGATGCATTTTTTGGAGCCTAAAAAAGAAAAATTCAACGGCAGGAGAAACATTTGAGGGAAAATAAATATCGCGAGGATGAATTTGTATTGAATCTGGTTGTTGAATGTCGATGCATATTCAACCATTTCATTATCTCATTGAGCACGAGAAAAATGCAACCTTAGCGAATTTGTTATAATGGGATGTTTTGGGCTAATTGCATGCCAAACTGAGCATTACAAACATAAAAAACAAAAATCATCTGGATTTCTTTCACACAAACGTACTACGACCACTCAATCACAAAGGAATTGCTTATGACCAAACCATTGCCGAACACACAAAACACGGTTCATACCGAAAGTAGACGATTTCAAGTGGTGTTTTGTCTCACTTCAACAATTCAATTCGTTGATATTTCTTTTCTCATTCTATCCTCAAAAAAAAAACATAAACACAGGAACGAAAAATACAAAGAGAAATGTTAGTGTCACAGCATATTTACGCGTGTCCAATTTCATTACACAAACACAATTCGGTCGTTGTTTATGGCATAGCTACAGAAATATTCGTTCATTCTTTTCATTTCTCTTAAATGTCGAATGCGTCGTCTCACTCAGCTTTAGTAGCTGGTGGCACAGCGCGCAGTGTATGGTGTGATACACTGCAGCCGATGTTTTTCTGGCTGTGATTGTGTTTGTGCGTAGAATATTGCTCATCAATGCTCTGTCGAATTTTATAACGGAGCTATTGAACACTACCAACATCATCGGCGAGATTTCTTCTGCAAATCGGCGAACATGTGATTTTATTGCAATGAACCTAGCCTAAATGGACACATTCATTTTTTCGTTGTGGTTTTTGAGACAGTAAATTTATTTAAATCTTGTGATAAAAATTGTTCGGAAAAGTGATTTTTTTTCTCGTAAAATTTAGGAAATTAAAATCAAGTTGTGGGATTCGGTTCTTGATTCGAACGGATAATGTTGGCACGGCGAGATAGAACGAATGAGAGAACATCGTTGACGGACCCGTCGGCAAATCTGCAAAATCAATTGATTGAGAAGCGGTTTTTGGTTGGACGACAAATTGGAAAAGGATCATTCGGTGATGTGTACGAGGCATATGACAACAGCAATGGCAAACGTGTTGCAATCAAATTTGAAGATCGTCAAAGTTCGCATTCACAGCTGAAAAATGAGTACCGTGTATGCATTCTGTTTTTTATTCTCTTGCTTGTTCCATGAAATTGGCAATTTGTTGTAGTTCTGTTTAGAAAAAAAAATCCAAATTGATTCTGTTTCATTTCCGCAGGTCTATCGGATTATTAACGGCGGAATCGGCATTCCAAAAATGATTTGCGACGGATCAACGGACGACTATGACTATTTGGTTATGGAGCTGCTGGGACCGTCATTGGAAAAACTATTCAATCATTGTCGACGCAAATTCAGTTTAAAGACCGTGTTGATGTTGGGCGAAAAGATGATTCGACGCGTCGAATATATGCATCAAATGTGTCATTTGCACCGTGATCTCAAGCCGGACAATTTTGTGATTGATTCGGAAAATGGGCCGGAGATTTATTTGATTGATTTTGGTTTGGCACGTCGCTTCTGTCACGTCGACGAGAATATGAAGGTGGAGCACGTGAAACGAATGAAATTGCAGTCATTTACGGGAACGGCACGTTATGCATCGATTAGCGCACAACAGCAATACACAACATCGAGAAAGGACGATCTGGAGTCGTTGGGTTACATTTTAATTTATTTCCTCAAGACTCGATTGCCCTGGCAACACGTACCAAAGGTAGGCTCAAACGGAATGACACCGAAACAACGAAAAGAACGAATTCTCGAGATTAAAATGTCCACCAATCCGACCGAATTGTGCACCGGACTGCCGCATGAATTCCAACAATTCATCAGCTACTGTCGCAAATTAGACTTTGATGAAACTCCAAGCTATGGCTATTTACGTAGACTTCTGGGGTAAATACATTTTATTCAAACATATGAGAGAGAAAAAAAGATAATCGCAATGGAAGAAACATAAATAACAGAATCAAATTGCTTTGATTTTTTTTCTCTGCAGAGGTCAGATGGAGAGGAATTTGTACGTCAAAGACTGGATGTACGACTGGAGAGTGATGGATGCGAATGAGAAGAAGAACAAAAAAAAACCACATTAAATTGAAGATGAAGGAAAGAACCACTGTTCAAAACGAATCGAATTTTAGTACAACAACATACACACACATTACATTACCATTTTACAAAATGTATATTTGCAATAAATTTTACCGAAAAATTTATAACGATAAATACGTGAAATGTTTCAACTATCGAACATACAACATATTTAAAAAGTCATACTTCAATTTCTCCTTAATTTCATTGCATTGAACGGACTCATTGCTTTGTTTTGACATTTAAATTGTCTATGTTTTCATCTGTGTGATGTGCGTAGTGCGCGCGCGTCAAACTCACACATCATTTCATCAGTTCGTGTTGACAGTGGAAAAAAAAGAAGAAAAATATTGACTAGATCGAAGAAACGTAAAAAAATTGGAAGAAGGAAAAAAGAAATTTGATGATTTAGGGAATTTCCATCGTTCACAAAGGATGTAAAATCGAATCACATTGGAATTTGTATGTAAATTTTAGTGTAGAAACTGTGTGACATGGAAGGAGAGAAGATTTTAATGGCAGCAGGAGTGACTGCAGCTGTACTTGGGACGGCTGCATTTGTTTTTTGGGGACCTTCAGGTTTTTAGCCAATGATGAGCAATGGAAAATTTAAAAATTTGCCACTTCAATTCATCGATTAATTGATTTTCATATTTTGTTCATTCATAAAGGTGCGTCACGGTTGCGACAGAGACGTGGTCAAATCGCTGGTTTGCACAATTTCGGACGAACTTGTTTCCTAAATACTCTGCTTCAAGCGCTAGCTGCCTGCCCACAATTCATCGCATGGCTTCAACTGCATGGAGCATCAGACAAAAAGAGTCTGATTGGATCATTGCTGAGTACTTTGGAAGGTATGTCATCAAATCTATGGGTTTGACTGTGAATCGAAAGCTTCATGGTTTTTGTTTGCAATTTTGCAGTGGTAAATGGAACACATCCCACCTTGCGAGCAGATCCTTATTCACCAGGTGCTGTATTGCGAGCACTTCACGCTTTAGGCTGGGTGATTCCACCCGATGAACACGACGCACATGAATTATTGCACGTTATTCTGTCATCATTGGAAGAGGAAGCAATCAGACCAAAAAAAGTAAGTGACAGTCAAACGATGTATTTTCGAGTGGAACTGAAACATTTCATTTGAATGATAAATTCTGAACTTTTTTGACATCATGTTATACAACTCTAAACTTTCTTTCGTAATTTCTGTCACTAGATCGGATGTTTATCTGATGCATTGGGTGATGGAACAATACAACTTGAACGTTTGCTACCACCGCCACGACCGTCAAGTGCTCTGTTGTCCGATTTTGCAAGAGCCGAATACGACGAAGCCACTGGATTGATGCGAAATGTTCGCTCCGAGGCGCACACCCCAGATTCGCCACAATCTGTATGCAATGATCTCGACGATGAACTGCCTGACAATGCAATGCTCGACAACATAATCGCATCGCCCATGGTAATGCCAGAGATGCGAAAGAGTCGTTCCCGGTCGATCCAACAGAATGGGGACGTGGGCAGCAAACGTGGATCTCTTACATATCGATCACTTGAACGATTAAACCGTGGCCCAAATCGAGTATCTGTTTACGGTGAACAGGCTCAAATTCAAATTCCTCATCCATTCCGAGGTGCTCAAAGTAGTCAAATGATCTGTACGGGCTGTGGATACAAATCGGTTGTGCGTTACGATAAATTCGATAGCATTTCATTGCCATTGCCAGAAAATAAAAATATCGGCCTCAGTCTTGGCCATCTACTCAGCGAATATGTTGCATCAGAGAATCTAACCGATGTTACCTGTGAGTCATGCAACGAAACATGCAGCCACACCAAATCGGTCACCTTTGCAAAGGTAAATTAAACATCTTTTCCATTCGTGAGTGCAAAGTGGCTAACAAAAATGTGATTTTCCCTACAGTTACCCGCATGTTTGTGCATTCATATTTCACGAAATACTTGGTTACCTACCGGACAAATCTGCAAGAGACAAGATGTTGTGCATTTCCCAGAGAGTCTTTCAATGGCGCCATATAGTTTTATTCAACCAAGTTTGAGTCAGGTACGTAACTGGAACCCACTCATTGTAGAACTGAACAGGTTTTGATTGAACTTCTTGATTTTTTTCTTTGCAGACAAGCACACCCTGGGGCTCAACAATGTCATTGCTTTCATCTAGTCTGCAATTGAATACCGCTGGTTTGTCAGCGAATGACTCATTTAGCACGTACAACTTTGGCGGCATGTTTCCGCGCAATTTGTATCGACTGTTGGCTGTTGTGGTACACACGGGTGAAGCTAATGGCGGACACTTCATTACGTACAGACGTGGAGCACTTAGAAATTCACACAGGTGAGCAATGAGCATACGCCTAATCATATAAAGATTATATCCTATTTGTGTTGAGCAAATGAGAAGAAAATGGAAGAAGTGGAGTGAGAAAATACGAGAAGAAATGGAAACTAAAACTAAAACGTGTGCTTTTCTTCTATTTCAGATGGTACTACACGTCAGACACCATTGTAAAAGAAGTCACTATCGATGAAGTGCTGACTGTGTCGGCGTATATGCTATTCTATGACCGTGGCACAGGGCCATCGCGCCAAGCAATCTAAATCAAAGCAAAAAGGAAATCAACAACACCAGCACAATATCGATTCAAAATCAAATAATTGTTTCAAAAAAATGCATACAGCATAGGCATATATATTCAGTAGAATATAACACCACGACATGAGATTGTAATTGTATTTTTTAAGGTATCGAAAGTCATTGGACACAAAACTTGGAATTTTGGCTAGAGTCAACACCCGATGAGCGACATAGTGAAACGATATAAGACAGACAAACCAAAATGGATTTATCACGATTTATTTTCCGAATTGAATTGTTCGCAATGACTTTATTTTTGAATTAATCATATATACGTGATATCACTTAATCCAAAATTATTTTACCTACATACACTGATTCTGACAGCAACTGAAAGTGTTGACTTTCAAGTGAAATGGAAGAAAAGAAACAAGAGGAAATAAATTATAGTTTGTAATTTTTTTAAAGATACATTTTCTGATTAAGTTGTTGAAACTAAAAGAGAGAGATTATATTTAACACATCCAATTTATTCACTTCTTCATTGTTGTGTACATAAATCATTAAAACTATCAAGACGTTGCATTTTAAAACACGTATGAATGGAATTAATCAAAACAAATAGACAGCAGCAAATAAGGTGATAAAAATTATCGATAATCGATTCAAAAATACTATATTTTATCGCTATTTTCCTTCTAAAATTTGAATTTGTGAGAATTAGTGAACAATGTTTACGAAACATTTGGTTGGCAATATTTTTTTTCGGTTCGGATAAAAGAGTACGTGTTTGGAAATTAGTTGTTGCATTAAATTTCAATGTAATGCTTAGAGCGAGCAAAATGTTAAATGGAGTGCTTTTGCAAATGGCATGTCTTTTGGCACGATTTGTACTCCCTAAAAGGTGAAACAACAGAGTTAGCGCATTATTTTTCTCTTGAATTTGTGAATTTAATTAAATTTGTGCTGTAGAATGATAAGTGTAGATTAATATGTCAGCAAATCATTGAGCATTTTTTTTCTTCTTTTGTTGTTGACAAATAAAAACTGGAAGAAAACAATAAAAAATATTATAGCAATTACAATTGAAATGTTCTTCATGTGTGTTGAATGGGTTTCCCAAGCCGGTTTTTATTGAAGCATACCGGGGAACACGTTACACATTCAATCGCAATACTACAAATTCGATTCGGACAAGACAAAACAAAACAAAAGGGAAGCGATTTCAAGAAATCCCATTAATTATGCAAATCAATACCATCAACCTGTCAGAATACTAATTCGATTCAGTGATTATTTCGCAACTGAGCTTCAGCTGCTTTTTTCTTTCTTCATTTATGGACAGTGGAGATAGCTGGGATGGTTTTTTATACTTGCTTGTATTTATAGAAACTTTTAACTCGTCGTGGGAGCAATGGTTTTTTATTCGATTAAGAATACCTTGCAAAAAAAGATTTATTTTGAAGCAATCATCAAAGAGTTTTGAGCAATTCTTCACAACTAGCTCTTTTTCAGGGGCAATGCCACAGTCAGTCATTCACAAAAGAGTTATTTTTTCTACGTCGCATATTTAAGATTACGTCTAAGCCGATTATAATCCGTTCGTAATTGATGAACCAAGTGCCACAATCAACAGTCAAAAAATGATCTTATTCTTTATCTGGGTTAAAAGTTGCAATATCTAAATCGTCCAAGGAAAATGAAATTATTATTAAAACAAATGCATATCAGTATAAAATTTCCAGAAATTAAAGCGTGAAGATTATGCTGGGTTATTGGTATTGGTTGAATCGAATGTTCGAAGAAATGTTGATACGTGTGTGTGTCACGTACTCCAATCGTTAAACAGTCATTTCGCCTCTGGAAAAGCATCGATATTAGGTATGAAGGCGTATTGAATACGTGATATCTGTAGACAAGAACTTATCACTTCTATTTCGATAAATTACTTCTGAAGGCACAAATAAACCGCTACAATACAAATGGAAAAAGTCGCAGCACAAGAAATAACATAAACAAATCTCGCTGATTTGCATATTACTTTGGATTCATTCGTGTTCGATTCTATAAAAACCGATAATAAAATAACTGACCACTTCTCTGTTGAGCTTATAAAAGCCAAGCAATTATTCTTAGCTCTCTCAGTTTTATTCGTTCGGTCGATGAGTCTGGATGACAAGTTTAAATTTTTTCATTATATTCTTCTCACCTTGTTCTCATCGAAGTAGTTTTTTTTATTCTTATCGAAGGTTAAACATGACGCAGTTTAAGTGCATTGTTTTGCTTGTGCTCTGGATGGCTACTTCGACTTTTGCCTCAGATGATCCTTGTGCTTCCTCACGATGTAAATTTCAACTTGCAATACAGTACATAGTAGAGTGGTCCAAAAAAAAAGATGGTCGAAGAAAAAAAGTGCCGTCCAGTTTCGAAAAATATACCTAAAAAAAAAAGGTTTTGTCCAAAAAAACGATATGGGTACCATATAAAATAAATGGCCATTTTTTCGTTCATTTTATACTGTAACTGGCCCAAAATGCCTTTTCAAGGGCTGATGTCTTGATGACGAGCCAAGCAAAACCCCATCAACAGTTTTTGCGGAAAATTGGCTGGAATAATGGAATCGGTCGAAATGTTGCGATCTAAAATGACTTCCGAAATCGCTGTCATGAAAATTTTGATATGGGACTTGGCACGGAATTTTATATGGTACCCATATCGTTTTTTTGGACAAAACCTATTTTTTTGAGGTATATTTTTCGAAACTGGACGGCACTTTTTTTCTTCGACCATCTTTTTTTTGGACCACTCTAGTACATAGTGTTAATTGTAACCTAACCAATTTTTAGATAAAAATTTCAAGATGTGCGTGCCTCATGGCATCCTCAATGCATGTGAAGCTTTGGCGAATAATAAACTTAAGGATGGTTTGACAATTAAATGTGTACCAGCTCGTGATCGGTAATTATTTTAGCGAATGTTTCTTGAGGATGATGATTCTCTCAATGCGCATAATTGAATAGCATTCTATTAATACCTCAAATACTACCTTGTTTTTTCATGAACAAATCTTACAAATAATACCTTGTTTGTCAATAAACTCGTCAATAGGATGGAGTGTTTAGAAAAGTTGGAACATAGTGAGGCCGATTTTATGGCTGTGGATCCAGGTATTAGAAAAATGAATGGCCATTATTAAAAAAATAATTTTTCTAATATCAGTTTGTAACCTTCTCTTGATCCAGAGGATATGTACGTTGCCTTTCAGATTGATAACGACGATTTTTCCGTCTTTTCCGAGATTCGAACGATCGAAGAACCAGATGGTAAATTGAATCAAAAAAAAAATGAATAGAAAACGATGAGAAATTGTGAAAAATAAAAAACTTAAAACATTTTCAACTTTTCGTAGCTGAATTCCGTTACGAGGGCATTATGCTAGTGCACAAAAACTCGAGTATCAAAAGTTTAACGGATTTACGTGGAAAAAAATCGTGTCATACTGGATATGGACGCAATGTTGGATACAAAATACCGATAACAAAACTGAGAAAACACGACATTTTCAAATTATCATCAAATCAATACTTGCCATCGCTTGAGAGGGAGCTGAAGGGTTTATCGGAGCTTTTCAGTGAATCGTGTTTGGTGGGCACATACTCGCCAAATGAAGAAATCAATCGATTGTACAGTAAGAAATTGTTGTGTTCTTTGACGTGAATGTACATTGAATTTCATTATTTCATTTGTTAGAAAAACGTTTTTCGAATTTGTGTGCATTGTGCGAAGATCCGGAGAAATGTAACTATCCCGACAAGTATAGTGGTTATGAAGGAGCTATCCGATGCTTAGTTGAAAAAGGCGGCGACGTCGCTTTTACGAAAGTGATTTATGTTCGAAAATTCTTTGCAGTGAGTGCAGTTCAAACCATTTATCTTTTAATTTTTGACCGGATTCTTTTAATTTTTACCTGATTCCCAAAAATCGACATAATCTTTCAGTTGCCAATCAACAATCGTGCCTCAAAGACGCAGCCACAGGCGAATCCATCTGATTATGAGTATTTGTGTGAAGACGGTACTCGTCGCGCGGTAACCGATAAGCCATGTTCATGGGCTGCGCGTCCTTGGCAAGGTTATATGGGCAATTTGGGTGTAAAACAATGTTCAAATCATATCCAAAATCTTGTTAAAGAGTTCTACGAACAAGGGAAAACGTCTAGCGATAAGGCAAGCGCAACAAAATTGTGGATTAATGAAAAGAATGTGGTTGTAGCGAAAGAAAAACAGGTTTTTCCTGGCGATCATTTAACGAGAGCCCAATACAAAGACGTAATTGAACGTGAAGGACCATTTGAACAAAAAATCCGGTATGAGATGATCTCATTATGAATATTATTTCATGCAATTTGTGGTGTGAGTTTAACTTAAGTGCGAATTTTTTTTTCTGCTTACAGTCTGTGCACAAGTAACGATGTTGAAATGCGAAAATGTTCGGTGATGCAAAAAGCAGCTTACTCTCGAGACATTCGACCACAATTCGAATGCGTACTTTCGTCGGATTGTATTCAAAGCGTAAGAGTCTAATTCGGAGCAAAGCCGAAAAACAAAATAAATAATTGTTTTTGTTTATTTCATTCGCGTAGGTTCGAAATAGTGAAAGTGATGCAACTGTTGTTACCATCAGAAATCGTCGAAAAGCCCGAGAAAACCAATTGATTCCGATTGCTCATGAATTAAGTGATGACCATTATTTTGTTATTGTCAAAAAGGACTTAAGCAATGATTTACTTGCCAACACACCAATGTACGTGCATTCATTCTTTGACCTTCACCAAATTGAATATTCATAATTGTTTATTGATTTTCCACGTAAATATTTTAACAGAAAATTCGATCCAAATGATGAGAAAAGCCGTGATGCAGCATTAAATTTCAATTATCAACGCGGACATGAAAAGTGTTCAGGTTTCACAATCGATGAGTCTCCCGTTCGTGTTGTTCGATTCAATCAGTCAAGTACGGAATTAAATATCGATTCGGAGGAATTCATTTGTCGTGGCATACGACGACCAATCGTTTTGGATCAATTGGATGTTAGTAATTGTAGATACGATGCTACTCCACCTCTTACAGTCTATGTCCGAAACACACTGGCCAGTTTCGAACAGGATGGCATCAAACACGCGTTTTCCGCTCTGTCCGATAAGTTTGGCAAAGACGGCAGTCTTGTTGATGTGTTTGAAATGTTCGGCGAATTTGAACCGGGAAAACGGGACGTTTTATTCAGCGACAATGCTAAATCTCTCATCACCGTAGACTCAATAAATCTGACCGAATCATTTTTTAACTATGATGGAGATGAGGAAACAATGTTTACGAACATTCGATGCTGGGATTAAATTTAAACCATTTTCAATGCATTTTAAATCGATGAATAACAAGTGAATCAATAATCGACTGCTTTCACGTCACATTTACTGTTCAAGAAATACAAACCTTTTACTCAAAATAAACAAATGAATGAAAGCTTTTTATTTGTTTTTTCTCTTTCATCAATTTATATTTCTACGGAAAAAAAACTCTGCACATTTGTCAGTTTATAAAAAGTAAAAAATACAACGTAACAGAAAAGAAGTCAAGTGAATTTAAGCAACAATGCAACAATTGCTATAGTTACAAATAGATTGAGTTCGCGCGTCGTTGATTTTGTACCATTCTTATTGTTTTTTTCATATATATTTATTTTTGTTAAATAGCCTTATGCGAAAAAATGTCAACGAGTTTCTACAATATAAATCGATTTCAAACATTTTAATTGATTTTTCTGTTGTTATTGTTGTTCGTCAAGCAAATCACAACGAGAAGTATATGCGTGTGTGTTTGTTTATAGCTAATGTAGAAGAAAAAGAAAGAAACAGTCTAAAAGCAACAATTGGTTGGCTATTAAGTGCTTTAACGGAATTGTAACTGTCTTTGGTGTTTCGATTATATATTGATCAACATCGTCTACAAAAACTATTGTCCTTTTGCATGGTGTTTAAATATTCGTACAGCTGATTGTTTCATTTCTCGTCGGAGCTCGAGTGGTTGAATCGATCTTCGTCACTCTTGGCATTCGGATCACTCTCTTCGTCCGAATAGTCTTCATCGTGGTTGTGGGTTACAGATCGTGGTGTTACTGGCCTGGTATGTGGCACTGAACCCTTATCGTTAAGCCGTAATTTTGCCAGATCCTCTTGGGTAATTTGTGAGATTTCATCGTTAACCGTGCTTTCATCAATCGTTGGCTCTTGACGTAGACGAGATCGTGAAATCATTGGTTCGTCCATGATGAATCGTTGCTCGTGGGCAACAGTTGATTCGTGCGGCAATAACATGGCCGGTGCACGGAACATGTACGAAAATGGGTAGTACATTAGATTCAAGAACGTTGCTGCATACAAATCGGCGTATCTAACCACCTGACTGGAGAAGAATGTTTGACGTGAGCCAGACCGAAAGAGTGAGCCCATCATTCCATATGACAAGTCCATTTTGTGCGTTACGTCGCGGATAGAAGCCCGAACCTTTGAGATGTCTGGCTTTTCATAGGTACTTGAATCTAAATTCCTGTAGGATAAAATGAACAAATATTAGTATTTCACAGCTAAGATAACTTTGTATGACATAAAATCATATTTACTTGTACATATCGCCTAGAATGACGTCCAAATTCTGGAGTTCAGCGAAAAATTGACATTTGTCTCTAGAAAACGAAAAACATACAAAAAGTTAGATTAAATGTCGTTTTTACATAGCACCGCTACGAGCATTCATAAACGGCACCAATTCCATATGGAAATGGCATGGTATGCCCTATAAAAAAAAGTCTTACACCCAAACATGTAGCTCCTGTGTGAGTTCGGGTACAATGAGGAACGTGCGCCAGCCCCGAATTTTTTTACTCTTCAGAATGTCACCAAAGATGTGATCACCCACATACAGCACATCTTTGCCTTTAGCACCAAGCAATGAGGTGAAAACATCACATGAACCGCCACTGTACACCTGGCCCGCTTTGAATCCACCCGTGGGTGTACCGACCTTCAATGCCCCTGTCATTGTATCGACTTGTCGCAAAATTGTTCCTTCGCCGAAGAATAACGGTTTCTTAGCGTCAACCACAATTATATCGAAATAGGTCGTCCATGCGCGATGTGGTTCTTCTGGTTTGGCGCCGTGTGGAAAATCAAACAAATACGTCATAATTCGATTGGTGAAATTAAATGCACTGTTGGTCAACAAGAAACATTTTGCACCCGATTCACGAATACGTGAAAGAACCATTGGAAGACGTGGATCCTTTCTCACGTATTTATCCAAGTTCTAAATCAGAAAGTATGTACAAAAAAAATGAAATGAGAATAATTAGTTTTTTAACCCATTAACTACCAGTGGTCGATTTTTCGACCAGTGACTTTCGATATTTTTCTTCTTCGATTAATTTTTTTTTCTAAAATAAAGTTTGAAATTCATACTTCCCAATGAGAATACTACAAAATCAATTTCAAACGTTTCAAATTGGTCGGATCGATCATCGAATGAAACCAGAAATTTTGGAGAAAAAAAATCCCCTAAGAAATTCTACAAATTTGTACTGAATTTTCAATTTTTCTATCGCTGTTAAAGATAAATGGGAATCATATCTCACGATTTGCGAAGTCTACTGTTATTTTTAGACCAAAATTGATAATATTTGAAAGTATCACGCAATTTGAAAACAAAATAGGAATCCTGGTAATTAATGGGTTAATGAACAATTTTAATTTAGTTCGGAACGCAAAAACAAATAAATGAATATGAATGTCGTCTTTTATTCTTACCGCAACGGTTGCATCCTGCAAATCCCCATGCAAATGGATATAATCCATAGCGCTGCGCACATCTTGAAAAATCGATTTAAATGACATGAACAAATCGCCAGCACGTACACCTTGTTTTTCTCTGAAACGATGACGAAACACAGTAGTTTCCGATTAGTTATTTTGACCGTAGAAAAATGACTGTCATTTATTCAGAAACAGGAAATAACAAGAGCTGAAACCTTACCGTGTATATTCAGGTGAGTTGGTGAAAAAGTCTATCAAACAGGCCAACATATAAGTTTCCGGTAGGTTAAATAATGTGTTTAGCACATAAACACGAGATTCATCCAGTTTCAAAAACTTATTTGGATACAGTTCATAAACTTGCGAACTAACATGTGATCGAGAGAGAGAGCGTGAGAAAGAGAGAGAAATGAAGAGAAAAACGCACAAAAGTTGTTATTTAAAAATGTTTGGAATATAATTTATTATATAGCTCAGAAAAGAGAGAGAGAAAAGTGTACACTCACTGTTTCAAAAATTCGAATCCATGAACGCAAACCAAAATATTACCGTAAGCATCAACTTTCAGTAGATTTCCATATACAGTGTCGAACCATAAACCACGTACCTACAAGAACAGAATCTAATTTGCGTTAAAAAAAAACTTATTTTGCGAAAATGTTTCGCATTTTCATTCATTTTGAACCATAATACGTACCGGAAACGATGGATCATATTCAAATTGCATGATTTCTTTTGGGTAACCCATGTGCACGAGCCGATCCTTGACCAAATCAAATCCCAGTGTTTCCAATTGCGGTGATTTGTATTCTGTCACGGGAAATGATATGATTTATTTAGACCAAACCTGAATCTAAGCGCAAAAATCCATAATAACTAACCAGCCAAAGTGTAGTCCATGTCGAACCCAAAGAATTTAATGTTTTCCATGTGCAATGACCGATTGACGAAAATTCTGAAATAAAACGAAAAACAAAGAAGACGTTTAACTAAAACTCATATGTTTAAAGCAAATGTTTCATAATTTTAAGTAGCACATCATGTTTGGGATAAATGTCGGTCCATTTGCATGATATGAATCTTAGACCATGCTTAACATGGCATTGAAATTGGGAAATTTGGTAGCAATTCCAAAAGAACTGAACATATTTCGACTGAAAACTTTTGACCGGATCATTTATGCTAGATGCCACGATATTTGTTGGTTGTGGCAGATTTTTAATAACCCATGTCTGATGTTGTGCATGCAAAATCAGCCCAAAAAAGTATACGACCCACAGTATCGTATCAACTATGTGATACAAAACACTTATCATAATCATAATCAAAAACATTCGGCTAGACAGCCAATTACTATCCTACATCATCATGTGATAAACCTTATTTATGGATACGCCACTGCTGACTGCTTTCAAAGTAAAATTCTCTGTTTTTCCACAATGTAAAAATATGTTGTTTATCAGTGCGATGGAGTACATGCGGTGCTTCACTTCATTGTTTTTGACGTCTTTCTTTTCTTTTCATTTGATCTCGGAGATTTATGTTTACGTATAATGAAATTGAATTCATAGTACTTAAAATCGGATGCCTGTCGACTGATAAGTCTCCTTTACCGACCATGGCGCTTTTCATTGCTGTCAATATTTTTGTGAAGAAACCGTAATCAATTCAAATAAATCGTACGAAACCGCATTTTTGTTGAACATTGATATATACGTTTTATTATAATCGAATACGTGGGATGAATGTAAATCAGGTGAAACATTTCTATGAAAATGATTCCTTTTTCCATATCCCCAATTGAAGCATAATTGAACAATATATATTCATATAGATAAACCGATTTGCGTGTGATTCCGATTGAACATATCGAAATATTCATGTCCGCATGCGAATTCACCGAAGCCGATGAGAGGATCTCACGTGCCCCATTTCAGAGGAAGAGATTATTTCATAACAAACGAAATTCATATAAAGGTAAATAAATTCCAGCCTCATCAGACGCTTAAGACAGGTAATAGATTGTTCTTGGTTTTCATGTGGTTATGCATGTAGCAGTGCTAGCTTGTGGCAAAGATTAATTTCATACGTCCGGTTTGAAATTCAAGCATTTGTAAAAGAATGTGCATTTTATTGTGAGTTTTGTATGTTGTAATTCTCTGTGTTGTTGTGAAGTATCTTCATCGTAGCATGAGCCGCAGAATGAACAACAATGATGAATTCGGCCATTGAATTTCTATATCTATTTACATAATATTTAATTGCTATTAGCAACTTGTTAGTAATGAGAAAACATTTTCGTTTCCATGTAAAATCATTTTTCCGCAAATATCCGGTTGCGGTTTACTTATCGGTTGGCAACATAGCAATACCAAAAATTATAGCTCAATCTGCAGACGATTCCTTTTGCATATTTTATAAATATCGAACATTTGCCGGGCTGATAAGAAGCGCATGTTAATGGCTTGCAGCAATTAACAAATCAAATTATATCTAATCTAGATATAGATTTTTGTTTGTTCGGCACACAATTTCCTGAATACAAACAATATTTTGCGCCATGCCACCATCATTATAATGGTTTTCACAGTGTGATTCATTGTGTGGACACTGTTCAAAAATTAACAAAACGTACAAATTAATTGAAATTTATTTATCACTAAAAAATTGACCGAAGTTTATTTTTGAAATGCACTACAAAATGGTCATTATTCATCATCAAACACATCGTGTCATCAAAATGTGCAGAAATTTGAATATAACGTTTGGTCGAAAATGATTTTTCATGGTCAGAATTGATTGATTATATGATTTCATCAGATTAATTGTGCCAAACCATATTTTTGTTTTGTTATTTACGATCCGATTATTTTGTATTCCTCATTTTCCCAAAAATAATGACTCGTGTTCATTCATATTTGTCGTGTGGTGACGCGAATGTACAACAAATAAGCCGACGCAAAAACCACCCGTGTGGCAAACAGTAACAGATAAATTATAATGTGTAATAAATGAAGGAAAATGAGAATACAATTGGCTAAACACGAAAATACGTTTGTATTATAGGTTGAATGTGACTATTTCGGTATCAATGCGTTAAGTTCGTCTCTATGCCGTTTCTTTTCCTCTCTCTCCCGCTCTGTGTCTCTCTGTATGTGATGCCAAGATTTTTTTCTTCGACAACCGATAATAATCGGCCTCTTATGGTGAACAACAAATTCATTTCATGTCATTTATTATGATCTAGTTGTCTTGAATCACAAGCAAATACACACAATATCCAACGGATATGGAATCACTATCCATTATTTGACAGCCTAAGAACAAAATAACATCTTCTGAACTCTTTGCCGATAAATGAAACGAAAAAAAATTAGAGCAAAAAAGAAATGAAGTTGCGAGCAAAAGTGACACAAGTGGGCATTGAGCGGGAAACACGTTTTTCCCATTTTTCTCGCTACTGGTAAAAGACAGCGACTAGGTGTCTTCGGCTTATTTGTAGTTATTTCCATTTTCTACAATATTGCTGAAGACACCTAGTCGCTATCTTTTTCCAGTAGCGAGAAAAATGAGAGAAAAACGTGTTTTCCGCTCAATGGTTACTTGAGTCACTTTTGCTCGCAACTTCATTTGTTTCTTTTTTGCTCTAAGTTTTTTTTTTCGTTTCATTTATCGGCAAAGAGTTCAGAAGTTCTTTTTTTAATTCTATGGGTGTCATTTGTATTTACATTAGGAACTTGCAACAAAGTCCGAGAGGAGCGTATAATTTTTCTTTCTTTGCGCTGTGTTCAAATATGACATATATTATCTACACGTTCAATACACTACATTGGCTCGTATACTCACCCCCTGGGAGCAAAATGTGAATCGAACGTAAAACAATCGTCTTCATCGTAGGTCGCATCATCAATGGGAAATAATTTCTCCGTTGACGTTTCAACGCTGAAATGTTTGAAGTAGTGCTCGGTATGTCGATCGTGTATCACATCAATCGGCAATATTCCACTTCTGGCTCTATCAAATGAAGAGCCACTCGAAAACATTTTCGTTAAAATCAATTGGTCGCACTTATAATCGCGTTTGAGATTGTTATTTTTGCGCAAAAATATGGCAATCAAATTCTGTGCGGGGATTGAATTTAAATGATATCCAATTGAATATATTTTCGGGGAATTGATTGTATTTTTGGATAAAAAACGGTTAAAAAGTGTAACATCAAATGGATAACTATAGAATCGCCTCAGTATATTTGACATTGGTCACATTTTTTCTGCGGTTAACGAAAGTAATAATAACGCGTATTGAAATTTTTAATTACAACCTCCAGCCAATTTTATTAATGGAAATTGAAACGACAACAAACAGAGATATTCAATTGAGTTCGTTTATCCGCAGAAATGGTAAAATCAACATGAATTTGATACAATGAACGCGTAACTACAGAAAAAGTGAGTTTTCGAATTATGGCTACTATTTTCAGTCATAAAATGTGGCGAATTAAAAAATGTATCACCAACTCGTATTGAAAACGGTAAAATTCGATGAAAACGGCCGTTTTTCATCACATAAAATATCAGCTCTACCCATTTTTTGTTGGTATTTTTCAGACAACCCTCGTATTAACTGATTGCCAGTATCCATGAAATAGGAAAAATGTATTGTAATAATTGAATTTAAACGAAGTAAACAAAAAAAGTATTAACCGGCTTGTTGAGACAGAAAAAAAATGCTAGAACACCAAATCGTAAACAAATCTCATTAATATGCAACATGCTCGATAAAATTAAACCTGATTATGTAATTAGTGCACCAACATCAGTGTATTCATACGGCATTTTTTACATGTTTGTGTAAGAGTATGCAAATGTACACAATCGACACAGTACGTATCGTTTACCATTTTAATATTGTAAATTTATGCAAGTTTCTTCATTTAATGGCCCAATTTACATTTAATACAGGTTAATACATAAAATCAAATGGAACTAAATTGAATCAAATCGAACAACAATATCTAGCAGCTAATTCACACCGATCGATTGCGTGAAAAAATAGAGAGATGTTTGTAATAGGCTCTTTTATTCAATCGACTACACTTTTCGCAAATCGACCATGGCATATGGTAAAAGGAATGGTTTCGCTTCCATGCAGCTAGTGGTTTTTGTATTCTGTTCCGTTCTGTGAACGAAGCGGTAGAATTTTCGTTGCATGTCGAGACATACACACAGCTAGCGTAGGTAGAAATTCTTTCATTTACAGATGTGATGCGGTGGATTCTCCAATGTCTTCTAAAATTAAGCTAAACAGTAGGTTGCAGTTCGTTTTTATCTTCATCATCACGTTAAACACAATTAAGCGGTTGTACCCGGTCTCGGCTGGCGGCGATTCGATGTTCATTTATCTCCAACATGAACAATTGCTGAGTGAGCCCAATCGTTTGCGGTGTGCAATGCCATTTCTGTCAATATTTGTTTTCAGGCGAGTCTTTAATTAGAACATTTTGCTGAGCACAAGTCTGCTTTGCGTAGCAAATAGCAGAACCAAAATTGAAATCAAACCCGCTAATGACTTGCGATGCATGCAATTTATTTTCTTTGATGGTTCGACTTGCAGTTCGTGAGTTGGATTTTACAACTTAGGAAAGCAATTCTTTCTATTATGGCACTCCGGAAGCGAAATTTAAAGCACATTGATCTAACCCCATGATCTTCTTGCGAAAACCATAGAAGCGGGCCATGTCAAAACCATATTCACCTATCAACGAAATATAGCCAAACCAGTTTTGTGCATTAGCTTCAGAAATCGAACATTTCATTATCACTCTCCGGGCGGTCTGGATATGTTAAATTTGTAGGTGCCGATAACACCCGGCACTCGGTGCAAATTTCATTTGAAACTTCGATTTCACAATTGTTTGAATCAAAGCAGTCTTTTTTATTGGAAAACCCAATTTTC